ATCCTCTCCTTGGATCCCAATTAAGACTTATTTGCACAATCCATTGATTATTCTTTTAAGCAAGTACCCCACAAGTTGGGTGCAGAGATGTTGGTACTGCCTATATTAGGAGATATAAGGATGTTGGTGTTGCCCTAGCCTAAAGGACTTATATGCGTAATCTTTCTATAACCATAACCTTTTGTAACAACCATTTGTTATGCATAGTGTCTACACTTCATGATAGGTCTCTTTCTGTGAATTCCTATTTTTATCATTGTACTGCACTTGGACTTTAAACACAGAGCTTCATATTCAATTACAGGCTCCTTATTAGGTTACAGAAGCTTAAATCTTTTAATTTTGCTTCTAGCTGGACTTGAACCATTGATCTTGACTGTGAAGGGTATGGGAGCTTAACCGCTAAGCTATGGGACCCACACCCCTTGTATTATATTATATTATTCTGTATTTATGATAAGTATTTATATATATTAAGTATACCAGGAACAGAGTGATAAAATCACAAAGTATATGCTTTATATAATGCAATAAGTGATGTTGGATTGTAAATTCCTATTCTGTTTCAAGTCATAAGTTTTCTTATTTTTATTTATTTTTAGTTATTTATTTATATAGCCTTTTTACTATTTAGTTATAACTGTATATAGTTATTTGTTTGTAATTCATTCTGCTTATATCTTTGTTTATGTTTAAAAACTATGATAGCTATGTATATAAATATTAGAATAAGCAGTTAGGGCTAATGCCATGCAAAATATTCGAATAAGTCACAAAAATTAATACTATAAGCAGTGTGGTTTTATGCTACTATAGTATAAATATGGCAACTGTTTAGGAAGAAGCAAGTGACTGCTATAAAGATCTCAACATGCTTTTATAATTCCTTAATATAGTCTTTATAAATAATATTGTATAAATATAGGTTCTTTTAGCCTTTTCAAAAAGGACTAGTTACAAAGAAAATTACTAAAAAAGTTCTAAATAAATAAATTATTAACAACTCTACATTATCATAAACATTAATTTATGTAACTTTGCTTAATAAGTAATTATTTCCTTATTATGTTAAATTGTCTTTGTCTATAAATATATGCTGTATCTCTTAGTTAACATAAAGAAAGTAAGCAGTAAGGCTAAATAGGCCTTTCTTTGTATAATTAAAAGCCATACTTTATATAGAGTTGTATAGTTTATAAAGTATAATATACTTATGCAGAATAATCTATAAAAATATTACTTTTGAACACTTAATTACTTAGTAATAAAATTAATTAATTATTACAAATATTTATTTAGATTACTCTTAAAATATCATTAAGAATAAAGCCACTTTTAATTAAATTCATTTTGATTATTCTTAAACTACTATCTCTTCTGATCACTATTGTTCTCTGACTATAAATTATATACCAAATTTCTTTATATTACTTTTCTTAATGTAATTAGACTATTAGATGTTAACTATTAGAACTAAACTGTGCAATGCTACTCTCTTCTGATTTATAATAGAAATATTTAGTGCCAGTTGTATAGAATAATTGAACAAAAATCCTTATTAAATTAATTTACTTTTATGTTTAAATTAAATTAAAATATTATTTAATAAAGAAAAATAATATAAAATGGCTTAACAACCTCTATCGCAAAATCAACAAGCTCTCTATCTCCAACAAAATTTAAATTTGATGCATAATTTAGTGAACCAAATTGCTAATTTGGTTTAGCAAATGCAATTAGCACATATATTGCAAATAAATCTTCTAGTTGCTTATAGAGAACTAAATTTAATTTTCTATTCTGAATTTTTCAGAGAATACCAAAATTTGGTTTTCTGTTTAGAGAATGTCAAAAAGGCTTTTGAAGCTAATTAGAATAATGATGTGAGAAAAATATCCATAAATGTTTCAAAATTAAAAGGATCAGCATCTACTTAGTAGAAGATAATAAAAGTTCAAATCCCAATCATTGATCGATGAAGTAATAATACAAACATAGCACAAAGTTTTAAACTAATTTTATTACAAAATTTTTAACTTCTGAATTAAAGAGCAAATAAGTTGCTCAACTTATGCAAAAAAAGCAACTTCTAGAAGAAACCATCAATTCTTATTATGTAGCTATAGAAGAAATAATAAGAAGAATTAAAGCTGAAGGTTACCAGTATGCCAATTTAGCTAAAGCCCAAATGTTTATGAACAGGCTAAGGTCAGAGTTATATATAGCTGTTTCTCTATTTACCCTGCATATGTTACAAACTGCCTATGATTGAATTAAAGCATTTGAAAATGCTTATAAACAAAATCCAACATATGTTGCCTTTCTAGTTCAAACTATAAGTTATTTGTTTCAAGTAGCTCAACACTAAAATAATCTAATTCAAGTCTCTACCTTTTCACCAAACAGAACTGAAGCCATAATTAATAAACTTACTGAGCCCATTAATAAAATGATAACTCTAGTTTAACTTTAACTCAAACCTTATTGTTTGTTATAATTGTGATCATTCTGGCATATAAGTTAAACTGTACTATCTCTTGTTAACCTTTGATTATTACTAATCTGCTCATAATTCTTTAAAACAATGTTAATTTATAAGAAGTATTGTTGGAGTTAATGAATTTACTTTAACAAATAGCCCAATCTGAAGCCTCTGAGAAACATCTAACATATTTAAAATTTACCAATAAAGATGCTTCTATTTTTGCTTCTGCTAAAGTAGAAATAAGGAAGAATAATCCTATAGAGACACAAACCAAGAAGCAAAAGGTAGATAAAAAGAAGGAAGTATTAATAAAAGAAATAGTAAGAGATAATTAGCATAAAGAAGAAGTGCAACCCACCTTAATTAGCTGTAATTATCAAAAGAAACCTGTTTCTCTTATAGTAAGACAAAAATTAAAATGCAATATAAATTTACAAAACACCCAAAAGTAAACTGCATTATACTATGATGTGAAGGTCCAAAAGAAAGTAATTACACTAATAGTTGATAGCAAATCTTCTGAAAGTGTTGTATCATTTTACCTTTTAAAGAATTTAGAAATTAAAATCGATCATCCATTTACTGTTAACATGATCATCATTTATAATGAAAATAAAATAACTATCAGTAAAATTGCCAACTTTTAATTTGTTGTTGGAAGAATAAAAATTTCAATAAATGTCATTAGCACTAATGCTAGTTCTTATAATAACTAGTAGATAATGATTAGTTATTGAAAGTAAATGCATTAATTGACTAAAATAGTTCTGAAATGATGCTCATGTAGGATGGAAAAGAAGTCACAGTACCTGTAGAATTCAGGAAGGTCACCCAAAACTGCCTGAAGTTGAAAGACCTACAAAGATAAATCAAAAAAGGATAATGTTAAAGAAGAAGAAGAAGAAGAAGAAACAAAAGATGATAAGAAAGATGAAAATCAGTTTAAAGATGAAGAACTAGAGAATAGAATTTATAGACTTTCAGTATTAAAAGAGCCAGATGAAATTTTTAATGAAGATAACATGTATTCTATAAATGTGATTAAGAATAAGTTAAAAGCAGAAGAGGCCTAATAGAATTTGAAAAGTAATAACAATTATATACAAAAAGTTAATCACAATTGGAATTAAGAAAAAAAATACAATAATGAAGATAAGAACAAACTTACTCAAGTAATAACCCTTGATCCTAGGCCTAGGGATCATCCATAATTGCTAAATATAAGAGCTTTAAATAATGATGAAGATAAAAAACAGCATACTGTTAAATTAATATTAAAAGGTTTATCTGCAAAAAAGTATAAAGAAATCACCAACCTCTTTGACTATTATTTTAATAAAAAGAAAAAGCCAGTTACAATATATAATATAGAAACCCTTTCTAAAGACTAAAAAGAAAGGATAGAGTCAATTCATAAGAATTCTGATCTTTTCACTAGAAGTATCTTCAAACTTGGTTGAACCAATAAAAGCCACCATTACATAATTACTGCTAACAAATTATCAATTAAACAAAGGCCCTACCAACATTCAATAAAAGAAAAAGAGTTTCTAAATAACAAGTTGAAGATGATAAAAAAGAAAGAAATAATCTGAGTTTCCAATAGCTTCTGGTCCTCTCCAGTAGTCTTAGTAAAACAAGGTGAGAGAATATCCACATATGTATAGACTACTAGAAATTGAATACTATTATAAAGAAGGACAATTATCTACTTCTGAGAATCAATAATATTTTAGATACCTTAATAGGATCATCTTGGTATACTTCTCTAGACCTTGCTAGTAGATACTGGCAGGTCAAGATGGCAGAAAAGAATAGAGAAAAAATGGCTTTTGTAATATCTAAAAAGATCATTTAATGCCTTTCAGATTAGCTAATGCTCTAACCACCTTCTAGCAGTTAATTGACAGCATATTTCAAGATATTATTAGAAAATTTGTATTATATACCTTGATGATATTAATATTTTCTTCATGACATTCAACAAACATCTCTTTTATCTTCAAGAAGTCTTTAGACATTTATAGAAAGCAGGTCTTTAACTAAAGCCCCAGAAATGTTTCTTTGAGAAGTGCCAATTAAAATTTTTGAAGTATATAGTAAACACTAGAGGAATTTTAACTAATTCAAAAAAGATCAAGTTGTTCAAGATTTTTCAACATCTTATAACATAAGACAAATATAAGAATTTTTGGAACTTGTCTCCTATTATCAAAAGTTTATGTCAGAGTTTACAGATATTGCTGTACTTCTAAACTTATTATTAAAAAAAAATAAGTATTATAAGTGGAGTTCTGAGCAGGAAAAGTCATTTAAAAAGCTAAAAATAAAACTTATTACTGCTTCTGTCTTAGCCTATCTTGATAAAACTAAACAATTCTTGTTATTTAGTGATGTATCTTATCAAACTTTAGATGTAGTCCTCTCACAACTTGATTCTAAAAATAAAGAAAAAGTTATTGCATATGCCAGTTGCAGTTTATCTTCAGCAGAAAAGAATTATTCTGTGAATAAGAAAAAGTGTTTAAAGGTTGTATAGGCTACATTACACTTTTAGTAATATTTATATGGCATCTCTTTTATTTTATATACAAACTATTCTATCTTGAAATTCTTGTTTTCTCATAAACTACCCCAGAGTAGGCTTGTTTGTTAAATTTTAACATTATAAAAATATTCTTTTAAAACAATTCATAAGCCCAGAAAGTGACATTTAAATACTAATAGCCTATTTTGTATCTAAAAAAATTAAAAAATTTTTTAATTATAAAAAAAAATAGACTTAGATATATATTATTTATTTTTTAGATATCTTAACAATATGATAATATTCTTAAACTACAATACAAAACAATTAAAATATAGAACCTAATATTATTTAGTTTAGGAAGGATTGCTATATAAAAAGAACCAGAGAAATTCTTCAAGACTCCAATGAGTTCTCAAGCCTTATAAAATAGACCAGTTCTATTCAATATGCATTTGAATCTTTTAGCTGACTATTTTAATGTTATGTTGATCTTTTAACAAATTTTAATTTGATATTTCTGGCCTCAAATAGGAGTAGGTATTAAGGCCTATGTTAAATTATATAACTTCTGCCAAAGAAAGGGACAAGGGACAACCTAGAAGTAAAAAACTACTTCATCTTATCCAAGTTGGATGACTCTTTAACAGAGTAGGTATTGATATTATAGGACTACTATTAATAACAACAAAAAAAAAATGAATATATAGTAATTACTACAGAATATTTAACCTGCTGGCCTAAAGCTCATTCTTTTAAAAAAGCTAACTTTATATTTTTAGCAGACTTCTTGTTTAACAATATAAACTGCTGACATGGGAGTTTGAAGGTATTACTTTTTGATCAAGGCTCTTACTTTTGTAATAAAGTAGTAGATATTCTTTGTAGCTGAATAAACATTAAACATTGGCTATCTACTACATACCATTCACAAACTAATAAGTTGATAGAATAATTTAATTATACCTCTGTGAAGTACTTGCTAAATGCTTAAGCCAGTTTGAGAATGAATGAAATGATTACATATCTCCGACCCTTTTTGCATACCTGATAGTCTTATATAGTACAACTTAATATGAATCCTTTTTATTAGTTTATGATCATGATGCTCTTTTTCCTATAAAAACTAAGTTAATTACTTTTCACTAAACTGACAACTGAAGATAAATTACAAAGAAATATATTAAGGTAAATAGAAACCTTATTAGGAAGCTTAATAGATGCTCATCTTCAATCTAACAATAAAATCCAAAGAACAGAACAAAAAAAGCATGACTATTATAACTCTAAATATCAAATAATGTCTTATAAAATTGGAAATTTAGTACTCTTATTTAAATTATCTTTAATCACATCGCATAGTTCTAAACTTAAGAAAAAATAAACTAGACCATTTTATATTTATAAGACCTATAAGAACAGTGTCTACAAAATCAGAACCATGAAGGAACAAGTCTATAAAAAACTTGTACACAGAAACAAATTAAAGAAATATAACATATAAAAAAAAAAAAAAAAAAAAAAAAAAAAAAAAAAAAAAAAATTTAAAAAAAAAAAAAAAAAAAAAAAAAAAAAAAAA